TCTATCTATCTATCTATCTATCTATCTATCTATCTATCTATCTATCTATCTAATCTTTATATTTTAAAAAAAACAAGGAATATTAAAAATGTTCATCCATACAGGGATACTCAAAATGGTCTTCCTCATAAAACAATAAAAGTAAAATCATACACAGCCAGAGTGGTACACCATATATTTGGCTTCTTCCATTCAGTGCAATAATTATGAGTTATATAAAGACTATTGTAAGCAATAGTTTATTGATATTTCTTACTGAGCAGTGTTCTGCATAGATATACAACAATGTGTTTTTCCATTTGTCTGTTGATGAATGTTCATCTGGTGGAACAGCCTTTGGCTATGACAAACAAAGCTGCTACAGGCATGCATGTATGAATCTTTGTAAGGCCATATAATCTCCTCCCTCTTTGGTAAACATCCAGAACTGGAATGAGTGGATCACACAGGAGGCTCCAGATACCTTATCTGTTTCTTGTAGGCTTAGATTTTTCAAACACCTACTTTATTTAAGGTTCTTGAACACCTCTACTTCCCTTCCCATGCCCTGACCTTAGGTAGAGAAGGGGGCTGTAGACCTCTTTCAGCTTCTACCCGATGATAAGGGTCTATAAGTCCTTTGGGGATTACCAAACTCAGTTGTCAGGATATCAGCAGTCTAGTCAAACAGCAAAGCAGCAGCAGCAGCAAAAGCGTCAGCAGCAGCGGAACAATTCAGAGGAAGTGGCAGACTCCGCCCAAATGGCACAATTCTGCTGAACTGGCAAAACTCTGTCAAAGCAGCTCAAGAAGTGCTCTGGAGGGTTTCTCTCTGAAAAGACCAGTGAAAGATGCGAACTCTTGCAAAGAGTAGCAATGTAAAAGCATCGTCTCACTGTCTGTGGTCTTCTATTTATCCCTTCTCAGAGGCTACATGAGGTGGTTTTCCCCGCTCGCAAAAACCGTGCCCCTCGCACAAGGTAGTTTTCAGCTGACAAACATCACTCACCTTTTCACGGGGGCTGTTTTCCATGGAGGATGTTTTCTGAGGGGGCAATCGCATTCCCACATGCCACACTTGGATCCAAAACAAACAAACAAACAAACAAACAAACAAAAAACATATTCATATGACACAACTGAGTTTCTGAAGAAAGCAGAAACTCCCACTTCGGTTTCTTATTGTTGAGTTTTTCAGATATATTTATATATATCAAAATACAAATCCCTAATTAATATATACTTTGGAAAGATTTTTTTTTACTTGGTCTGTGGGCTTTTTGATTTCTTGACAGAAAGTGTGGAAAAAATTAAATCTTGATGAATATGATTTATTTTATATTTATGAATTATGTTTGCCCAATCCACATATTTTCTTTAGTGTTTTCTGGCTTATAGTTTTAGATTTTATATTTAGTTTTACAATAATTGTGTCTGTGTGGGAGTATGTGTGTGTCTGAGTTGTGTGTGTGTGCATGTGCACACATATGGAGGTCAGAGATTAATGTCAAGCAAATTATTTCACTGTTTCTAAGGTTATTTTTTTGGTGTAGTATCTCTCACTGTACCTGGAGCTCCCACTCAGCTAGACTGGTGAGACAATGAGCTCCAGGAATCCACCTGTCTTTGCCTCTCAGCACCAGAATTATTTTCTAGTTCCTTTTGCCTTTACTTGATGAAACACCCTGATCAAACTAACACAGAGGAGGAAAAGGTTTATTTGGTCTACAGTTCCAGATTACAGTCCAGCACTGGGGGAAGTCAGGGCAGGTACTCAAGGCATGAACTGACTGATATACTTGCTATTCCACATAGCCCAATCTCAGACCTTGGAACTCACTTTCCAAGGTCTGAAGCACAAGAAGCACAAGCAGGGACATTGAGAATGCTGGTTGCTAGGTGGCTTGCAGGCTGGCATCTATCTTCTTAATACAGTTCAGGGATGAACTGCCTGCCCGCCTGGAATGGTGCCACTCAGGGTGGGCTAGGCTCTTCTACGTCAATTAATAATCGAGGTGATACCCCCACAGACTGCCAACAGGCTAATCTGATCTAGGTAATTCCTCGGTTGATTCTAGGTTGTCACAAGTTGATACTTCGAATGAACCATCCCAGATTACAAGTGCATATCACCATGCCTGGTTGGGGGATGTAACTAGGGTCTTCATTTTCAGGCAGCAGGTTCTTTACAAGCTGAGCCATATCTCCAGCCCCATGATCGTTTTTTCAACTAGCTTCTTGAATGCGGTAGGAATATGTTTAGATCCATTATTTTTCATATGGAGATACAACTATTCCAGCAAGATTCATTAAAAAAATTTCTCCACTGTATTATCTTTGTATTTTCCACACTTGTATGAGTTTATTTTCAATTTTGTATTACTCTACTGACATATTTGAATGATTCTCTAGCACTATCATGATGTTACGATTATTATAATCTTTATAGTAAGTTTTAAAATGAGGCATCTTTAGAAATCAAATTTCGTTCTTATTTTTTGGCTATTGTAGGTCTTTCTTCATTTTCACAAGAATTTTAGTATAAATTTGTTAATTATTTTTCTAAAGTTTGTTTTGTTTTGTTTTCCGAGACAGAGTTTCTCTGTGTAGCCTTGGCTGTTCTGGACTCGATTTATAGACCAGCTGGCCTTGAACTCATACAGATATGCCTGTCTCTGTCTCCGTGAATTCTGGGATTACAGGTATGTGCCACCGCGCCCAGCAAAAATGTATTTTTAATAGGTATAAAGTACATAATATAAAACAAGACAAATTTCAATGCCTGCGTATATGACAGTAAAACAAAGGAGGAAATAAATGGAACAACACATGTTATTGTCCTGTCTAGTTTTGTTTCTAAAGAGAAATTGTTATTATCTTTATTTTGGTTCTTGTGGACATCTAGTTTTCAGATTTTTCTTCTTCATCACTGGTTTTGATCATTTTGATTATTGTGTACTTTCTAGTTTCTTTATTGTGTGTGTGCTCATGTTTCATTGGGCTTCTGAAGCTGAAGTCTGTGGGTAAATACGTTGTTAGGAGGACTGAAGCAGCGATGGAAGCTGATAGCAGTTTTCTTAAAATTAATTCAGTTTTAAAGAATGAAGTAAGAAGCAAGTCCATAGGCTGTTATGAGGTTGGAGAAGGAGATAAATAAGAAATTATACCGCTGTCGCCTAGGAGAGGGAGAGAATTATTGCAACAAGGACCCGAACAAGATAATCAACTGTAGTGGCCTAAAATTAGTGGGCATGAATCAGTCAGCATGGATATTTGCCTTAAATGTGCAGCTACAATAATGCAAGCAGGTAGGAGACCCAGTGCCAGGTAACTTGCCAAGTGACTACAGCAAGTCAGAACAGAAGGTGTTAGGATATATGCAAAGAATGCCACACACAACAGATCTGGATATGAAGAGATTTGGGGGTGGGGGTGGGGGAGAAGGAAAGCAGGGAGTAGTTAGGGCCTGAGTGAGCCATGAGGGTAGAGAGAGAAATAGAATGAGAGACAGCGGAAGGGCGTAGGATAGGAGAAAGAGGAACATGGGGAGGGGGGTGTCAAGAAAGAAAGTCAGAGAGGAAGGAAGGGGAAAGAAACCGAGGCAAAGAGCTGTGGGAGTGGCAGACGGGTTATATCTGGAGCACCTAGCTCAGGTGATGACATAGGACGCAGACGATAACAGGACCCGAAAGGCACCTGAGGACAGGCCAGTTGAATTGCCTGCACAATAAACAGAAAAAAGTGACTATGATCATTGTACGTAGACCAACATTCACATCATGTCAGAGTGGAAACTCTCAGAAGGCATTTCCTTGCACCTAGATGCACCGAAAGCTTGTTGATCCATGGGTTGCTTTTTCTTAACAACAGAAGCTCAGGGGCTATAAAGGATGTTAGCAATAGTAGGAAGTTCGTTGTAAAGTCTTTAACACGCTCTGTGAAGTTATGCACATCTTGGCTCGGTCCAGCAAGCACAACCACAGTTTCCTCAACTTCTACTCTTTCATTGCAATTGGTCAGACATCCTTGCGCAGGTAAAAATGCTCTTTCTTCTTCGATGGTCTGTTCCTCCTTGCATTTCAGCTTTTCTGCGAAATCGAAATTTTTCCCGTAAGCGCACTATCTAGTTTGTACCGTTCCTTCTTAGAATCAGCCACTGTTTTCACCGCAAACGTGTCTGTCGTCAATAGCTTTCTGCTACGGTGCTGTAAACTTCCTGAGGGTGGGGTCTGTTTTTAGCCTGCGGTGAACCAAGTGTATTTGGCGCACCAGCAGGTGATAAGAAATATTTTTAAGTAGATGAACAAAAGCGAAGGTAAGTAAGTGCGGTGTGAGAAGGCTGGCGTGCAGAGCAACGTTTCTTTTGGCGACTCCTCGAGGCTTCCGACGCTCGCTCCCTTCAGCCCTTTGGCTGAGAACCGCACAGCGCTTTCCGTAAAAACAAAAACAAAAACAAAAAAACCAAACAACAACAAAAACAAGTGAGAAAGCAGCCCTAAACCCACAAATGAACCGGCTCTGGGACGCCCCGAGGCACTCGCCGGATGTACGCAAGGCGTGGGGGCGGGGCTCTGGTAACCCTGGCAACAGCCCGGAAGCCGCCCTCCGGGTTCCTCCGTGGCGGGCTGTGCGGTTCTGGAGGCTGAAGTTTTAGTCGGGGTGGAGGCGGCCGTCGGCCAGCGGCAAGGCAGGTTGGGTGAAGAGGGGCAGGCCTGACCTCCGTGCACAGGGTGAGGAGAAGCGGCCGGCGCCTCCGGGGATCCCGGTGGCCGGGCGGACGTCCTCACCACACGGCCGGGCGGCTGCTCCCCTCCCGGAGCCCGAGCGCGGTTCCGGGTAGCGCCTGGCGCGCAGCTTGCTGGCGGTAGACATGCCTAGACTGTTGGCTGTTCCAAGTGTTTGTCGTCCAGCAACGGAGCGGCAAAGTGCTCAGGGTGTCGGGACGGGGCGCGTCCTTTAAGTTGAGCGGTTAGGACAGGGTTTCTAAGAGAGGGAGCAGCTTCAGAGTTTTGGGCCGGCTTGGGGTTGAGTATGAAGTTGTTCCAAACGGTGCTTGGCACTGCATGGGAAGGTTGGAGCTAGGTCTTAGGATGTGCGGGAGGGAAAACTGGAAAGAAAAGTCAGTCGGGCCACACGAAGAGAAGCTCTTGAAGTTGGGTTATTATCTACAGTGGCCTCCATTAAAATCTTAGGAGGAAGTAAGATCTATGTTGAGACCTGTATCCCTGGATCTGGGTAAGGTTGATGGCAGGGACAGTGCTCTTGTTGTTGTCCTCCCGTTTGTTTTCATACTAGTTAAGGTAAATCTGGTCGAATCCCTCCATTCCTTCATAAAAGCCTGCCTTTAATATGAAACTGTTTCACTGTGTTTGCATGCCCAGTGTATGTGTAGCTTTGCTCAGAGCCACATGATCACCGAGGGGAGCTCTGAACCTCTTAGGGGTCTAGAAAGCAAGCTCGGTTGGCACATTACCAGACTCATTTGCAGTTTGACTGCCATTGCCTATTTAGTTGTGGTCTGGAGAAGGGTTCCCTGGTTTTTGGTGAAGGGGCATGTCTATGAGGAAAACGAGGACTGGGATGGAGCTAGAGGAGGGTCTTGGTTAAGTTTTATGTGAGAAGAGGCCAACGTAGTCTGTGAAGAAAAAGAGAAAAGAGTAGATGAAACATCAGAAAAAAGAATGTTGTGGAGGCCAAGGGAAGAGGTCTATGAGTGAGTATGCATAGCAACAAAGAGCCTGAGAAATAAGAAATGACTTGTAACCTTAACAAGAAGCAAGTAATAGTTCTCATTTTTTCACTCAGGCCCCAATTCTTCAGGGTATGGTGATTATTTACTGTCCTTAAGATACTCTAGTTTCTGTTAGAATTCAAAAACACTGCTTCTTTTGTTAAGTTTCTGACACTGTTTTTTTGGAGGGAGTCAGGCACATGGACCTTTTGACCCCTGTTTTTAACCACTCACAAGCGTTTTGTATACTTCAGATTCATGACTGTTTTCAGGGTTGAGGTTGGTTGAGTTTTAGCTTATGAAAAATTGTAATATTTTAAATATAATTTGAAATAAAAATACCCTCCCTTTTAAAAGAGTTGCCTGTTTTGAACCAGTGTTAATCTATTGTTTGTAGCTTCCTAGCGTGTACTTTATAGTTAGTCACATATTGAGTGTCAGTACTTTACTCTCTTCATTATTATTTGTGTCACTTTGAGCAATGTGATTACATTCTCTAAGCCTCATTTAACTCATCTGAGAAAGGAATTAACGATTGTCACTGATGTCATCAACACTTAAACAGGACTCAGTTTGTGTCAGGCAGGTGTTCCAACCAGCTTACATATTTAGTCAGTTTCATTTTAGAGTTTCATTTTAGAGCTTTAGACAAAGCTCAAGAGTGAATCCATACAGTTTGATTCCAGGTTGTACTCTTAGCCATTATACCATGCT